TTAAACTAGGCCTAAAATAGTGTCATTGTGTTTAGGAGAAGTCAGGTATGCTGCCATGTTAGGAAGCTGAAGTCAACCTGATTCAGCATTCACCCTCAGGACTCATGAGCTTGAGTTATACGAAGAGCCAAGCTCTAAAGCAAGTATCAGAGCTTTTATGCTTTTATCTCCCAAAAATGTTTAGCCAAGCCAAAACAGAATCCAATCTCTATTTATGCATTCTGGTTCCAAACTTCCTCTTGTTTGTACCAGACAGCAGGGAAGAGCAGAGTGTTCAGCCCTCCTGGACACCAGGGAGCAGCATGGAAGGGGCAGAAATATGGGGGTATGGGAGGTCCAGTAGAATAACAATTAGAAACCCAACCCAAAGTCTACTGGCTTCTTAGCTGATGGGTTGTCATTACAGTCCAGATGCTTTTAAGTGTTCCAAAAATCTAGCATTCTCTTATAAGTGAGTGGGAGAAAAAGTGTGAAAATATGCTAGATCTTTTTTTATGATTACAATATAAATGCTCAAAGAAAAATATACGGTATCTGTAGGGTGTATGTGTATGCATGTGTGTGTGTGTGTGTGTGTGTGTGTGTGTGTGTGTGTGTCTAATAGAAGTCCTGCCTGATAATACTGAACAGACTGATTTTTTTTAAAAGCCTAAAGATAACCACTCAGTGCACCTTCTGGATGATCTGCATTAGCACAGCAACAGAAAGGGAAGCTTGCTTCTACATCATGACTAATGAATGCAGCATACTAAGTAAGGCAATCTCTCTTTAATTATTAGTATTCTCTTCACCAATAGAAATATCACAGACACAACCCTAGGGCTTAATATGCATGTGTTTGTTACTCATGAAGAATTTGAGGTCAAGGGAATATGAAAGTATTAACTATGCTTGTATTTTCTCAACATCACAGTTACAAGACAAGAGTTTAGCAGATGGGCAATTATAATGCCAGTGCTATCACTGCATTATATTGGAGCATGAATTCTTCATGACTCTCTAGGTAGGAGGCCTTGGTTTGAGTGGTTGAACTCCAAATAGGTTTCAAAATATCAAAAGGCAGTAATTTCTTCTCTATATTTCTGTGAAAAGCAGAGCTGGGACTATTTTGCTGTAACTCAGCAATTCTTAAATTGACTAGAAAAAGAAAGATATCTTTCTGTTTGGATTTGATTATAATTATACCCATCCAATTTAGATCTAGTTGCATAAGAAGGAAGGTGCACAACTGACAAGACCTAAGACCTTGAGTCATTGAGAACAAGGTTGCTTGTACCTACTATGGGTGTGATTAAAATTGCAGCAAGGGTTGGAGGTGTAGCTCAGGGGTAGAGCACATGCTGAGTACTCATGAGGCCCTGGGCTCAATGGCCAGTATCAAAAGAAAAAATTATAATAAAATTTTTCAGAAAAAGTACCAAGTCCCTAATAGTTATCCCATAATGCTGAAAGGCTTCACTTTTTCCATTCATTAGAATTTTGTAAATCCATAAATCCCCTGAAGTGACACACAAAAGTGTCAATTTCTGTAGAGGCTTGTGACATTTTCCTGGGGAGCGTGCCTAAGGCTCTCATTGGATTCCCCAAAGATCCCTGAGCACACTAAAACTAAACCACTGGACACTTGTTTGGTTAACATAAGCTCTTCAAATGCAAATTGACCCCGGAAGGTTAGAGATGTTTTTGCACAAACAGTTCTCAAAGGCTGGATGGCCTGTGACCAGGGCCTGTAGGAATTTCATCAGTCCAAAGCCTCCCTCTTAGCCACATCCCTGGACTCCAGGTTGCATGAGTGGGGACCTGAGGGTCACAGACCATGTCAGCAGGTGCTGCATGATGCTTGTTCTGTGGTCTCTTTTCAGGGAATTTGCTCACCAGACTCCTGCTCACAGCTGAATTTCATGGGTTTCTCACCAGCCCTGCAGAGAGAAATTGTAGCAAAGAAATGGACCACTTGGAAGTTCTAATCCCTAACCTTCTTGGTCCACCTAAAACAATTCAGATTGAGTAAACAAGTTAAAGGATACAGCTTACACGTTTGTCAAGTTCCTCCACACAAAATTTGATGTTTGACAATGACAATGCTTTTTTAAAAAGATAGTTTCCAGGTCGTAAGATCATGTTAGACAATCTTGACCTTGATGTACACTGTTCAGTTGACAGGTTTACATGTGAAATTATAAAATACAGTTGAATATTATAATTTTATTGAATTCAATCTTCTGAAAATAGATCCTATTTTTTAAAATATATGTCAGTATAGATTTGCCAACTGTCCTTTAATGAGCTGAATTCATTTGCAGGTATTAGGCTATCTTTTATTTCATAAAATTATGGTAATGTAAGATGAATAAAAATATGACAATTCAATATTTTCCTTATTCATAAAATCCACAAACCTATAAAAAAATGAGAAAAGAAGAAAAAAATGGAAACAAAGCTTTTGTAAATAAGCAGGAAAGGAGGGATTGAAAGGAGAGTAGGGAAATGGGAAAAAAATAATCAAGGAATATCATGTATAGGTACAAATTCCCTATATGAATGTGATCATTATGTGCATCTAAAATGTACCAATAAACTTAATTACATTTTTTTTTAAATCCATAATCCGGGCACTGATTCACACCTTCATGTGAGTTGATTTATCAGTTTGATCTCCATTTGGAGAAGTCTTCACACTTTTTAATGAAGAAAGGGTAGAGGCAATGACAGAAAAGATAGAAGGAGAACTGTTCTGAAACCCTGAGGGAGGGGTGGTGTCTTAGTGCATTTTTTATTGACTGTAACAAAATACCTGAGAGTGGGTAATTTATAAAGAACAGAAACTTCTCACAATTCTAGAGGCTGGAAGTCCAAGATCAAGGTGTTGGCATCTGGTGTGAGCCTTCCTGCCAAGTCCTTATATGGCATAATGTGAGAAGGCAAGAGACAAAAAACCCATTCTGCAAGCCTTTTTCATAGCCGCATTACTCCATTCGTAAGGACAGAGCCTGCCTGACCTAAATATTTCCTGTTGCTGTTGCATTGGAAGAATAAGTTTCTGACACACAAATGTGGGGGTGCATATTAAGATAAGAGCATAACTTGAACACTTTTATGGGGTTTGGAATTGTCTAGGATGCTATGAGACTTCTAGAGATGTGGGTTCCAAACAGAAGTATGAGTGTCCCCCATATAAATTCTGTTCCTCATCAACAGGTTACCAATGAACTGCCCTCACTGTTGGGGTATATTTATGACAGCAACTACCTAACAAAGGTAAAAGCCAATGCCTCCACTGCAAAGACATCTGGAAAGTATTGTATTCTATAGAAAACAAGCAGTTGTAGTCACAACAGATTATTTTATGTATTTGTTTGTCAAGAAATCCAGACCATTTTTTCTATAGGAATCTATCACTCTCTGAGCACATTAGCATTTGCCAAGAAATGGGGAGTTGCTGCTTAGTTACAGAAAAAACTCATAAAACTGGTGACCCTGCCCATACAGTTAATTTGGACCTGGTGTTATAGTCGCTTTGCATGCAAATTCCCCAAAGATGCCATTCCTGCTGTCTGAAGACCATCTCAGCATCCCTCCACTCCTTCAACAAATATTTATTTGGAATGAGATAGATCTTTCTGCTCCATCTAATCCAACTGACAAATATGTACAGGAGACAAACAAGGATGTTGGATATTTAAATATCAAAGGCCACATTTATATTAAGTGGAAGAGATATCCTTAAATTTCTAAAAGTCCTGGAAGAAACCTGGCTTTTTTCATTCCTTTCTTTTTTTAAGAACTGTGACCATCAGTCTGGGAAGTGACTGTTCACCCTGTGACCTGCTGTTGAAATCTCTCCGGGCCACTTGCTGCCTTTGGTTTACAACAAAGAAAATCTCATTCTGTAACTATATGAAAGGATCTTCTAATAAAAAAAAAAAAACCTCTTACCTGTCTCAAAGGAATATTGGAAGGATGATTTAGATAACACCTTCAAAGTTATTTTCAAATGATGCTACGGAAATAAAAGATATTGTCACTATTGTCATTTTGACATAGACAATAATGTTGCTTGTTTTCTTGCAAAAGCAAATGTTGCATCCAAAAAAAGCAAATATGCTTAAAGCAGCTACCTTTTAAACTTAGACTACATATAGCTGGATGGACATTTTCTTTCTATGGTCTCCTTTGCTTTTCCCCACTTCAAATTCATATGACCCCACGACACCTGAAGTTTCTTTTTTTTGGGGGGGGGGGTTTCTCCGGTACCGGGAACCGAACTCACAACCTTGCACTTGCCAAGCAGGCGCTTTTGCCGCTGAGCTAAATCCCTAGCCCCGACACCTGAAGTTTCTAGAGCCAAGGATTGGGAGGAGAACAGGAAAGACAATAGCATTAAATAAGCAGAAAACATTAGAGAACAAAGTTACAGAAATATCACAGGAGGAGACCTTTGACAGCATGTAATCCAAACTCTGCCCTACTAGTGGAAGACTTAGAAGTTTAAGCAACATTCCAAACAGGACAGTTAGAAAGCAGTGGTGGTCATTCTTATACATAAGCAAATGATGGCAAGCACAGAAAGAGATCTCCAATGCCAATTTCAGCCTCATTCTCATCCTGAAGCCAGGCATTCAGCCCCAGAGACTCTACAGCAGGGGAGCTAAGAGCCAGAACCTTGAGTCCAGGGGCCAGAGAGCCCTCATAACACCAGCTCACTCCCTAGCTGGGCAACCCTGGACAAATAATCTCTCCAAGAGTAATTTCTCTGGGGTGTAAAAGAAATTAGCATGCCCTCCACACCATAGGAGGGTTGTTGAGCAGATTAAATGAGGCTACATAGACAGTGCTTAGCACAGTGTCAAATGATAATTGTTGCTTTTAATGTCCCTAGATGCCACAATTGAATGAGAAAATGCACATAAAGTGTTCCTCACAATGCCTGACATCATAATAAGTGCTCAGCAAATATCAGGAAGTATTATTACCTCACGCTCCCACATAAACGTTCATGCCACAAGTGTGTGTGGAGTTTTCATGGATGCCATGAGCCAGGCTCTGCCCCTAGGTAAGGGGGACAGTGGGGGACCCACTCTCCAAGCTCCACTTTCTTACAGTCCTGTGCAAGAGACAGATGTGCAGTCAAACAAATGCTCTATATCAAAGGTGGGCAATGACACCTACAGCCAAATCTTTACCTATTTGAATATGACCCATGAGCTAAGGATGGTTTTTATATTTTTAAATGCTTTAGAAAAAATAAACTGAAAAAGAATACTTTATGGCACATGAAGAGTCTATGGAATCCAAATTTCAGCGTGCATAATTAAATTTCTTGGAGCACAGCCACACTCATTCATTTACATATTTGTCTATGACTGCTTACACCCCATAACCGCCAAGTTGAATGGTTGCAACAGAGACCATATGGACAGCAAAACCTAAAATGTTTACTATTTGGCCCTCTGCAGAACAAGTTGCCAGCCTCTGTCCTATATCTTCATAACTACTGCCCACATAGCCAGGCACTGACGGGAGCTTTAGAAGCACAAGGTAAGGGTGGGGGACACCTGGTCCTGCCTGGGAACTTGGGGAGACATCACAAAGGAGTGAAGTCTCAAAGGATGAGGAGGAGTTTGCCAGATCAAAAAGGCAACATGACCCAGAATCATGACCCAGCACAAGAAGGCTGGGAAAATAGCAAGACACTGAGTAGCTTCTCCAAGCTAACCTATATCTCCCTGTCCTGCCAACATCCAAAGTTCTCCTGGCTTCAAGCTGTTTATTAAGCTCTGAGACTTAATGCCAGAATGACTACCTTCTCTCCAAAAAAAAAAGCACATAGAACTTTTGATACCTCTGAGGTTTCCAGGTTTCTGATGAAAATGAGATGTAATGGCCCCATTATGAATATGCTCCTTCCTGGGCCCATGTCCGGTCTCATTAGCATGTGTCACATGATTCTTCTGTAACCACAGTTCTTACTGCAGATGTGAGAACCATATTTAGCTACTAAGTTTTAAGGAGCACTGAGATATGTGCTCCGTGCATAAAAGGAAGCAGAAAAAAAGAAAATAAATAAGATAAGGGCAAGACTTAGCAGGTGGCATCAAATGCCATCTGGTAACATGGGGACAGCTGGCAAAAAGATGTTGTCTTCTGATTCCTAGGTTCACGCGTGAACGGCACTGACAACTGAAAAACACACTTGAAACTTGAAACTTGGAACATGGAGGAAGAGCAAACAGCAAACGCCTAGGCGACTTCAGTCCTGCTGCCCTGTGACCACCCTGGGTTTTACATGTTAGTGGAAATTCCTGTTCTTGTAAACTCAAAGGCTCCCATAAACTTGAAGTCACATGACAGAAAGCCTGAATGCACATATGAAGTACACATTCACACATGCATGCGTGTGCATACATTTCTCTTCTCTCTGGCTCAGAAGGGTCAGCTAACGGGCAGGGAGGCAACAGCTCAGCACATGCAGTCCTTCAGGCTCCATCCATGCATGGCAGGTCTCTCCAGCTCTGCCAAACACCCCAAATCCTCACTTCATTCATCCAGCTCCCACTCCTCTATCAAGGTGATAGGGCAGTGCCATGAGGTACACACTAGGTTTGGTCCTGCTGCTACTCTAAAAAACAAGACAGAAGCTGTCCCTATGTTCCTGGAGCTTTCTTCCTAGCAGGAAAGACAGACTCAGCGGTCAATACAATGAATCCTTTGGACTCTTCCAGAGCCAAGCTGAGCAGTGGTCTACAGTGAGAAGGGCAGGGAAAGGACTTCTGTGGACAGTTCCTCCACGGTCCCTGTGCACCGCAGTCTATCTCTAACTTTTTGGTAGTGTGATTAAACAATCTGCCTTTTGCTTATACAGCCAAATTCAGAAAGGCTGTGACCAAGAGCCCAACTCCAGTCACAAGCAGCACGCCCTACTCAGAGCACCTCCACCTGCTCCCAGCCAGTCTCTTCCTGCCTATCCCTCCTCTCCCCTAAGACGGGTGCTCTGCCAGCATTCTCCTGGTGACCCCACAAACGGACCCAGTGGACAGCCCCAGCAGGCCAGCAGACATGCCCAAACAGGTCTACCCTGCAGTAGGGGACACCACAGTGCTTTTCTGGGGAGCTACATGGCCTCAGAGAAACGCATTCTGATTCAGCAGTCCTGGTTCATTAGCCATGCTGGACATGCCCAGGCTGCACTTAGAAGCCGAGCAGGATCCCAGCTACAGGCATATACAAATATCACTTACTGAGGGACCCTGGAAGCAAAGAAATTGTGTGGTTTGGATTGCTGGGATCAAAACTGAATCTGCACTGCATATTTATCATTCCCTGACTGATACACACACCATAAATCAAGCTCTAACACATTGTAGAAATGCTTTCAGGTACAAAGGAGATACAAAATCCCTCCTTGTTATGCTCATCTCCCCCAAACAGTATATTTTCTTAAATACAGGGCCATAGACAACAAACCATTCAACTAAATAAGGAAATGCTCTTAATGCAACAAATAGTCCCCAGTAAAATCAGAGTGAAAATGTACTTCCTTTGCCTTCAGTAAAAGAATGTATACAAGTTTGAAAAAAGCTAAGGGGTTTAGGGGCTTGGGATTTAGCTCAGCGGCAAAGCACCTGCCTGGCAAGCACAAGGTCGTGAGTTCGGTTCCTGGTACCAGAGAAAAACCAAAAACCAAAAAAAAAAAAAAAAAAAGCTAAGGTTTGCTTATAACCTTGCTCACTATAACTACCAAATATACTACAGTACCTGCTCTTTGTAAAATAACTCGCAGGGCTGGAGAGGTAGCTCAGTGGCACAAGGCGTGCTTAGCATGCATGAGGCCCTGAGTTCAATCTCCAGCACTGAAAAAAAAGATCTCCTTCAGTTAAAATGAATAATATTGTTCTTTAATATTTATATGTGTCAAAGGTATACATAACCTTATACAATAAATAAGATTGCTTGGAACAAACAGTAAATTTCTTCCCTAAGGACCTTTGCAATCAGAAGAATAAATAAAAGGAGAAGGACTCCTGCAGCGGGAGCCCTGAGTAGACAACAAACACGGAGGTGGGAAGGTTCAGTCAGTGTGTGGGCTGCCCCAGGTGCGCAGGATGTAGGAGAGGCTGTTATAGAGAACACACCATAAATCACGCTGCAGCATTTGAAACAACAGCTAACAACAGGGAAGGGTATAAGAAAGAGGAAGGAGACGGTGAGCAGTTGGAAAGTGAAGTGTTGACCCCTGGGCTATGTCCCTTGAACTGATAATGTTCAATAGAAACTCCTGTGCAAGGTGACCACAAGCAGAGACCCTACCAGAGGGCATTACTTTCAGGTGGTGGCTACAAAGGTGGACTCTGAGATGAGATGAAGTGGACCTCCTGGCTCTGGCAGGGAGTGTGGTTTGGATCAAAGTCCTTCATGGCCTCAATAATCCTCAGTTTCTCCATCTGTAAGATGGGATAACAGTAGTAGAGTCCCTAGACCAGTGATGGCGAACCTTTTAGAGCATTCGGTGATAACAAACAGTCCACAGTGGCATGTATGGTGGCACGCCACCGCTGTACGCTTTTCAAGATTAAATGAAATAATGGAGAAATTACAGTCCTGATATGTAAATAAAGTTCTAAATAAATCTAATCTACTGCTTTTAAAATAACTATGTCTATCCTTACCTTGAAAAATTAAAAAAGTGATAGAATGGGCTCCAAGGGACAGGTGTGATATCTGAAATTCCCTGCTATGAGCACTGAGTAAGTCATCTAATGGCCCAGAGTCCATTTCTTCATAGAAAACAAAAGTATCAGACTAAACTATGTTGGACTAAGCCTGAAGTTCCTTCACATCCTTAAAATAATTCCATAACTCTGAGTTTAAAACCGTAAGTTCCTACATAAATCACATTTCTTGCCCAAATGCCAAGCACCATATGGGCTCACTTGCTCTCTGTAGTCTAGATGCAGTATCACCATAAATCAATGTCTCCTGAGAAACAGCTGCCAAATTTAGACTAGAGTGTGGGTGTTTGTCCCATTAGCCAACAACAAGAAGGGGTCTGTCCCTCTCTTAGAGTTCAGTGTCAGGCTCATCAACCCCATACTCCTTCTGATCTGAAGGTAGCATGACTTTGGCACTTTTTCAGGGAAGAAGTGGCATCCGTGACCTTATTATACCTTTGGAGAAATGCCTCAAGGCCTGAAATTATAAAAAGATACCAGTTTCACTTATAAAGTTTTCCTTAATCTGATATCACTGAAATAAAAACTGCATTGCTTACTTTGAACAATAAAAATGCTATTCAAACAGTGTGCATAGTTGCAATAAAAGAAATCATGAAAACATATGTTCTCAAGGTAAATATCTTTGGATGCTTTCCAAAGCCCAGGATTGTAGTACTGAGTGGCATGTGTACAATTTCAAAATATCTCCCTACTCCTATTTCTCATAACTACCAGTGCAATATTCTTGCTCTTTTGATAAGAGCTAGATATCATTTCATTTCCGTAGTGTTTCACAAGGCCTTTGAAATCCCATAACAAAAGGTGATATGAAACAGATGTATAAGACTTATCTAAAATCCAATTGTATTCAGCAATCATGTTGTTTATGGAAATCCCCCTTGTACAAGATCATACATGATATATTTGCTCAGCAATATATACAGTCGCCACAATAAATGATTGTGATTACTTAAACTCTAGCTATTAATGCTGCCCTCATCTCCCTTTGAACACGGCTCCTTCCTATGGAATCCACAGGAATCCTCTTGGCTGAATGGGACATTTCTCTCACATTTGAATTCAATTAAATTTTGTAAGTGTTAAAGTCAGCACATCAACTAAGAGAAGAGCAACTCTGCATGTCTCCATTGTGTTTACAGTACGTGGGGACTTTTGCCATGTTTCAGTTGCTAAAGAGTAAACTGCAGCTTTTGAGATACAATATAGAACATAAAAAACATTTCTCATCTTATTTAATCATAGTGGCAAGCTGATTACAGGACATGATATTGGTGGAAAAAAAAAACATGAATTTAAATCAGAAATTCTAGGTTTCCATCCTGTTCCCCCCCCCCATGGGTATGTGTCTGAGACATGAGATAGTCATCTCCTAGGACCATTATGAGGCTAAATAGAGTAACTTAGGCCAATGGAAAAGAACTATGCAAATGTTGCTTGTGATTCTGTTATCTAATCAGTAATTCTGTTATCTAATCAGTACCACCTCCAATCCTCTGTGGAAAATGATAGAATGACCAAATGCATGGAGACAAGTGACAGATGACAGATTTTATCACCAGCAAGAAGTCCCAGTACATATACATGTAACATTGTATATTACAAAGCAAACTGTAAAAGTCATGCAGCCTCCAGGCAAACAATAGAATTGTGGTTAGGATAGAGAAATAAGGAGCTACTGTTTTAGGGCAGGGTTTTACTTTTCGAGTGAAAGGGTTATGTAGAAGAATGGCAGAGATGGCTATACATTATAAATATATCTAACAGCACTGAACTCTACACTTAAAGTCGTTAAGATGATAAATTGCATATGTCTTTTAACACAATAAAAATGGCCGAAAAGACCATGGACATAACAGAGCAAAGATGTGCAGTCTGCAGCCTGCACCAGGGTATCTGGTAGACAGAAGGACAGGTGTGGAGATCCAACCTATGCTCCACTCACAAGAGGCTTGAACTGGCACAGGACTGTGTTGACCTCCTGGAGGCAGGTGCACCTTTAGATTTACACCAAGTTTTCCTGTAGACCAGCCATGAGTGTGATCAGAAGTATTATATTAAATCCTCAGAGAATTCTCCAGGCTACCAATACCCTACTGATATGAAGCCACAGTTGTCCAATGGCCACATGACTCCAAGAAATGAAAATGAAGAGTCCAAGGGATTGAACCATGAGTCAAGGTCTTCTGACACCTGGGCCAGTGCCATACATAGCATGCAATGGAAATCTAAGTGCAAAGGAACTCTCAAGGCAGTGTTGGGCAGGTTGATATAAACTGGGCGAGACACGATGATGACTCAAGCACAGACATTCATCTCCACACTCCTCTTATATCCTTCAGCAGCTCCTGAATCCTCAAAAAGGAGACATTATCTCAAGAACCTAGGACACAAATCTAGAATAGACAGACCCAACCTCCATTGCCTACAGCGCAATAACATCCAATCCTTGGGTCAAAATCCTCCTAATGTAAAACATGGAACAAAAATATAGATAAACAAACACAACGAAGCTATGATAGAAATACACACCAAACTCTTTTCTCACTTATATCTGTAAATAAATGGAGACAAAGTCTTTCCACATGGGCTGGGATGGGGC